GTAACGTGAATCATTTCCTCGATTTTTCCGCTTTTTCTCGTGGAAACTGAATCAAAATCAGCGAGAGAGAGAGAGAGAAAAAGAATACGGATCGATGCAAGTTATGCGGTAGAACGAGAATTCACGAATTTTGCAGCTCGTTTTTGTTAGCTTCCTCCTCTTACCCTCTAAGTCCCCTTTTCCTCTAACCACAACTTTATTTCTCTCTTTCTCTCTTAACGTAGTAATAGCGTATACGTAGCACGAGCGAGCGCTTCTATCTAATTAAAGTTGTATAGAGCGTAAATTTCAAAGTCGCACAGGGCTGTATCTAAAGCAGATAAAACCGAGTAGAAGTAGCAAGTGTAAGGCCGGTTTCACGCTCGAGTCAGCCCTTGTTTCTCGTAATTACGTTCAAGTTTACGGACAACTTTTCTACAAAAATTACGCCACTTATAGATATAAGAAGGACAAATTTAATCATTACAAAAAAAAAAAAAAAAGCAACTAGAATAAACGAACAAATGTTACTCCAAGTTTAAGGATATTTTTGTAGAATTACTTTTATGGGCACCCGTTATTTGAACAGACAGAGGAAAATAGATATTTAGTGATGTATATTGTAGAAAAATAACTAGAAAATAATAGCAATGATCGTTGGTCATTTTGTGCGTGAAGTTTTAACCCGTCAAATTGACGAGAACCACAAACCTAGTGTACAAGAAAATAGAAAATTTCAATTTCGTATTAAATTAAAGAATCAATTGTAAATCTCTCTCTCTCTCTCTCTCTCTCTCTATCAACGATCTGAGAAATGTTAAAACTGAAAAATGAAAAAACTATTAAATGGCCCGACAAACGGCAGGATAAATGTTCGATGAGGGATGATAAAGAACTGGATAGCAGACTTTACCCAACGATATGATCGACGAGAAAAAGAAAAAAAGGGAAAAAGAGAAGGAGGTTATCTTCTACAACTGAGGGAGAGTTGGGGCTACGTCGGATAAGAGATTTTTACTGTCTCCTTCCGAACGTTTACTCTTAGGTGAAAAGAACGTAAACATGAATCACGGTGGTTGCAACCATTACTGGCTCGTAACCAACCCACAATGAAAGAAATCCTTAAAAGGGTAAAACCATAACTCAGAATAAACATTAAAACCTGTCTCTGTAAGTCAACTACGAATCGCAAGCATCTTTTCTTCATAATTTTTCTTCTTTTACCAACTGTTAAAGTAAGGAATACATAATCTATATATATACTATGTATATAATATGTATATTTAAATAAGTAAAAATATGTTAGATCCATTGGTAGGATAGGTGGTAAATGTTTTCAACCCTCGAAGGAATGTGACACCTTCGACGATGAAAAGTAAAGAAAAGAAAAGAAAGAATAAAAATAGGGGTAAAGTATGAGTAGAACAAGGAACGATGAAAACGGCCGTCTAAGAAATATTGTCCATAAAACCGTAACCCTTCTCGACAATACAAGCTTGCAACGATATCTACGGCAGCCATTGAGGTCGTGCAATATACCGGGTGTCAACCACCAAAGCTCTGACAAACTACCTCAGAGTGTGTAATGATAGCCAATAGTCTGGACAAGAAGGACTTTTTCTTCCCTTTTCTCGGTACTTTCCAGAAACACGCAGAGAGAAAAAGATTATTGTGGATTTAGAAAGAAACGAGGAACGATCGTTCCATGACGTTACCTTGAGATCCACCTTTCTCTACTCTTTTTTTCTAACTCTCGACTCTTCTGTTTCTCTCTCGCTTCCTCTCCCTCTCTCTCTCTCTCTCTCTCTCTCTCTCTCTCTATGCGAAGTAGTACCCTCATTTTTCCCAAGTACAAGCCTGGAGAAAATATCTCTACGAGTGGAAGAGAATGGAGAAGCGTTGCAAGGCTCGTTAAAGAATATCCTTATTACTGCCACTATATATATGTATATATTATATAAGTACGTAGAATATATACATTTAGTCGCGATTATTTCTATTCTCTATGATCTAAATTTATATTTTTAAAAAATATAATCGTTATTACTGATGTTATTTTGTTTAGCGAAAATATATAGAAAAATCAAACTGAATCATCTCGAATCATGTAAAAAAAATTGTAATACTTTTGACTAGCTCTTATCGAAAAAAAAAGTGCAGTTTTCATCGTGCAAGCAATGCAGACGTAGGCGAGACAAGGAAAATATCATGTCTGTTTATGCGAGAAAACGTGCGGCAGCGCGTTCACACACACACACACTCCACCACAGTTTGGTTTCTAAGAGTGTAGTTGCTGATGGTAGTGGTAGGTAGTAGTGGTGTTGGTGGTAAAGAAGAGGAAAAAGGGAAGGTCGCTCAGGAAGGCCACACAAAGAAGAAAAAGAATGGAAGGAGAGTGAGATAGTGGGAGAACGACAAAAAAAGGAAGAAAGAGAGAGAAAGAGAGAGAGGTGGTACATAGAAAGAGTGTTGGTGGTAGGTGGTTGGCTCTAACAGGGCACATGTACTTGGCATATTTTAGGTCAGCCAGCACCTAGTCGGTCCGTTATAATGCGCCTGGGTGCCTGGGTACTGTCGAGTACTCGACAGAGCAAGAGAGAGAGAGAGAGAGAGAGAGAGAGAGAGAGAGACAAATGTAAAGAATCCCGCGCATAACGCAACTGCTATGTCAAATATATTTTTCAAACATACGTACGAAAACTATCCTCTAAATATTCATTACACGTCGTTACACCTATTAAATCGATGCATCAACAAATAAACAGAAACCAATAAAATATTGTATCAATATTTTTGTATATTAAACAATAGAATCGATCGTTTGACGAAAAAACAAAAGTACAATTCTGATCGATCATCCGGAACTAATAAAGATAGCAGAAAAATATTACTTTAACAAATAAATAACGTACATTTGTCAACTTTCCATTAGGTAAATTTGAATATTCAAATAGACATATAATATGATAATAAACTCCTTATATTCTGTAGAGTTGTATCAATGAAACAACTAAATTTCTTTGCTTATAAAAACAAAGAATTGAATTACGTGACTACGTTACTAATCGTAATCCCGGCTGTCCATTACCTATCCATTAAACATTTCGAATGAATAGAGAGGAAGAGAGTATCTTGTACAAGGTTTGCACCCACACATTCATATAGTGTACTCCGAGTGTGTGTATTAAATTGACATACACGTAGATAGTAACGAAGCGACTAGAAGAGCGGTTTCAAGGGTCGCTTTTGAATATAGGTGTTAGAAAATTGTCAAGAGAGGGGTACCAATGGTATTCGGTTACTTTGAGAGGGACATTACTTTGTTACCAGCCGCTTCTCATTCTCCTAGGTTGGTACGTTGGACTAGGCGTTGGTACAACGCGCTGACTGGATTACGTTGCTCTCCCTCTCTCTTACGCGAGAGGTGCAGCTGCAGTAATCCGGTGATAATGGAGTAACGAGATTCTCGCACACGTACGTTCCCTGCATATTTTAACTTCGCATTTTGCGGCTTACGTTCCACCTACCCTTCCTCCTCATCCTATTCTTCCCCCTCTCACTCCTACTTTGCAACCCAACAAATTTGTTCAGACTTGGTAGTTTCCACACCGTTACAAACGACGCGAGAGAAAGAGAGAGAGAGGGAGAGAGAGAGAGAGAGAGAGAGAGAGAAAGAGTTACGGAAACAGTCAGATTGTAGTTTAATTGGCCTCTTAATTACACCTTATTAGATATATATTTTTAAATCGTTACGATGATTATATATATATTTCAAGAGAAAATGTACGAAATAATAATAAGATCCTTCCTGCCAGTGTTGGTAGAATTTCCTTTTATTTCTTTCAAGTAGAAAAAATCTTGGCCTCTTGTACCAGCAACCATATACTCGACGTTCACACCTTTTATGCCATACCTACCCTTAAAGAAAGGATGTACATCGTTGTTCCTGAAACGCCCTCGATCATACACACACACACACACACACACACTCAGAAAAAACTGCGCGGAATCCAGGCCCCGCGTAGAATAAAAAGAAGAGGAAAAAATATAAAGTAGGGAAAAAAGAAAAGGGAAAAAACAGAATCCGCTCAAGAAACAACCTCTCGTTTCTTTCTATCATTCCTTTTTCCTTTTCTATTTATCTATCTATATCTGTTTCTCTCTTTCTTCAAGCGGAACTCAATTTTCCCTATGCTATATCCCGAAACAGAACTCGAATAGAATGTACGTATGAGAGAAGCAAAAGCATCTGCTCGGTTGCTTGCTTACCTTCCAGTAAGCGCTAGTCGACACTCGATTACTTCTCCACGCGCGCAACGACGAAGAAACACCCGCTTCTTCCTTCTGCGAAGTGCACTTTGCGGCTTCAAAAGAAAATAAAAAGAAAAAGAAAAGAGAGAGAGAAATAGAAAAAAAGGTTAAATGAGAGTACGACGTCGATAGATCGAAAGAAAAAAGAAAAAAAAAAATATATATATATA